TAAGGGCTGGGTGTCTGATTGGACTGCACTTTGTCCGATTTTGTTTTTGTGGTTCAGATTCCACACTAATGTAATGTCCTTGGCGGTTTTAGAGCGAAAAAATTCCGAGAATTCTCTCTTGCAAAATATCTAAATAGTAATTGCAAATACCTTCTGTCCTCCGGTTCTAAATCGTGGTAGTGCAGTGTGCGCATGCGACATTATTATCTACGGACTTTCATTAAAGATGAATAGCAGACCATTGCTAATAGCCCATTAGTGTATCTATAGTGCGACGTCAGCAACCGACCCAAATACAATTCCTTACGAAAATTTCCCTTACTAAAATTTTGCTTTCATTTTTTAAGGTTTTGTTTCTGGATGAACCAACATCAGGAATGGACGTCGAAGCAAGACGCAGTGTTTGGGATTCCTTGTTGAATATTAGACAAGAGCGTACAATCATACTGACCACACACTACATGGAAGAGGCAGATATTTTAGGAGATCGAATAGCCATCATGGCCGAAGGAGAAGTACAGTGCTGTGGATCACCCATATTTTTAAAGAAAAAGTTTGGTAATAATCTCTTTTATATTACCTATAACTAGCTTATTATCATTCAGTATCATTTGACATAATTCATTCTATAATGCTATTACTAACAATAGTAGAACTATAATCAACAATTTTCTCCGATACTCATCAATTTAAGTGGGCGGTAATAAACTTGTTTTCTCAGTATCTACTTTTTCTTCATTAATCTAGTTTTTTAGTATTATACTTTTTTTAATATTTCAATTTACTTCAATTTTATTTACCAAATGTAACTATGCATCATTGGTGGCAATAACAGGATGGTAATCTTTCACGGTTCTCACATTCATTACTTATTAATGGTATCTTCAATGCATTATTGTGACTATAGTAGCTACTTAATAAAAATTTACATCAATTATTCTATTTTTGAATTTAGGAACTGGATATCATTTACACATGGTAAAAAATCCCGATTTTAAAGTGGAACAAATCAATGATATGTTGACAAGGTATCTTCCAGAAATAAAAGTAACAAAAGAACTGGAAAACGAAATCACTTATAACCTACCATCCAATTCTGGAGTTGTTTTGGGAGAAATGTTCGAAGAACTGGAAAACGGTAAAGAGAAACTTGGTGTAAATTCTTGTGGAATTACTGTAACAACAATGGAAGATGTCTTTTTAAAGTGAGCTGTATTTTATTATTATTTGTTTTTTGAATTAAAATAATATTAATCCCAAATGCATTGTTAAACATTAGTAAAAATATTTTAAGTTGTTATGTAGAATGCATTTTCCGCTGATTTACACTACTTTGTTTTATTTGGTAACAAAATTTGAAAGTTATCAATCCTAAACCATACTTCACCGAAATATGTTATGCTTTTTAATTCATAAAAAATGATTTTTCATCATTTTAAAGATAAATATTAATAATTTCAAACAAAAGAAATAACCTAAAATTTAAAATAAATATGAGTTTTAAATTAGTTTAGACTGAATTATGTATCTTGATTACACCTTTGTAATATCTTTAGTTTCACCGTTTGTTTAAAATAATACATCTGTATTACAATTATTATTGTACATGTGATGCAAAGTGTTGTAATAAATTTACGTTGTAATGTTTAATTTAGTTAGATGCTATCGTATGACGTAATAAGTTTTATAATAAATTCATACCATCATAATTGATATCATAAATTTGCTTGTGTTCACAGAGTTTCAAATATGTCTGATATCAAATACACCAAGAAAGGTGAAAGAAGTTTGCAAAATGGAGTATCTTTTGAATATGAAGGTGAAAACTTATGTCATCTCTTTCTATTCTGCTTTGTTCATTTTTAAACTTTCATGAATTAGAATTGAGGAAATATTAGTTTTAACTGCATTCCAGATAATATAAATTACTCATTGCTGCAATTCCTTGTTCAGAGAGCCTAGTTAAAACGAAACGTTCTGTTCTTATTTCTATGTACTAAGATGTAAAGACTCTTTTTGTATTACTATATCTTAAAAATTATTCTATCTACTTCACTCAATTTCTAACTTTATCATTTAAAAATTTTGCTTCTTAAGAGGATGTAAATTGCTCATACCTTTTAATTCAAAACTTTTTCATCATTCCAAATGAAAAAATAGAAGACTACACGAATTTATTAAACATTAATTTTTTTATCTGAAATTATCTTGGGTTTAACGAGCTTTCTAAAGATGTCAAGTTTTTTTTGATGTGAGGGGGCAAATGTAACGAATGATGTAAAAAGGAAAAATAATTATATGAATCGAGAATTTGACTGGTCTAGAGACTAAATATGGGAAAATATATTCCAGATTGCAGCAAGTTTTTATGTTTCGGATGAGGGATTAAAAAAATCCATCGAAAGAGGATCAGATACTTTAGCACAAATCATATGATTTTCCAATTATTATGATTGAATATTTTTTTACAATTAATATTTTATCAATATTATAATCAATATTAATTTTCAATATTTTTTCAATTATTGTGAAGTTTAAATCATTTTTATCTGTACCTTAGGCGTTGGGTCCCAAATAATTTGAATTTTGTTCAATGCTTGAATTCTAATAATATTAAGCTGATCAACATTTTTGCTTTTTACCCAACAATAGTATAATACAAATTTTAAAAATACAATTGTTTAGGAGTGCAATTAATCTTACTACATCTGAAATCTTCTACTGCATCTGTTTTGTAGATGTGGATAGCTCTTTTGTGTCAATTTACTATCGAAATATGATTAAATACACATCAAAAATCCATAGTGGATCTAGAGATTGGTTTCTGCGTTGATCCATTTGCGTGCAGTTTACGTGCATCCTACATTTCATTCAAGAACTTTGCATTTCCACGTTATTTTCTTACGTTCTAATGTTGTGCTAATGTTCAACGCCATATATGCTTCAAATATATTTTAGCATTTTATTAGCAAAACTCAATTTTGCATGGACGTGTAGTGCCTCCGCTTTTAAGTTTGGTATAGACTCCATCATAAAATTCGAGTATTTGTGTGACAACGGGACCCATTCAGCAGGAAATAAGTAATAATCTCAGATGAATTATAAAACATTGTTACTGGTTTTATAAAGTATGTTCAACCCTGAATATGAAATTAAATATATTTGTTCATTCAATTGTTTATATATTAAATTAAATTCTTTTAAAGAGTATGAAAGATTTGGCAATCGAACAAAAAAATTTCTTATGATACACTGCAGAATGTTTCTAACCAAATAAAAACGGAAAAAAAATTGGAAAAATAATTTTTGATAAATAGAATTAGGTTAAATAAATGTTTTTCATATAAGTTCGATTGAAATTTGAATTATATACATTACAAAGTGAATCTTTCATGAGAATACTTTCTAATACAAAATTATTCTAATGAAAATTATTTTATTGCAGATGTATATGGATCTGCTAGACAGCTATCAATGAACAAGAGCTTAACAAACCAATTCTTTGCTCTTCTTGAAAAGCGTTTCCATTACACAAAACGACACTGGAGCATTTTAATTAATCAATTGATTGTACCCTTCTTATTTATTTGCTTTTGCTTCACTTCCATAAAAGGCATCCAAAATCAATTTAATGAAAACTTTGATCCCATTAAACTGGATGTTACCAGCGTTTATGGTAATACGGATGGATTCTACTATTCCCACACAACCAATTACACTGATGTCGTGCACAAAGTTGACAGAGTACTGAAAGCAAACAATGTGGATGATCCTGAGGTCAAAAACCCAACGCATTATGTACTTGATACTGGAAAATTAGATTTAACAAGGTATTTAAAAAAAATGATGGTAGGAGCAAGTGTGGACGAACTTTCGAACGGAACTCTAAATTTAACAGCTTGGTACAATGGTGAACCATACCATGCTCTTCCTATGTCACTTCTGTTAGCGCACACTGCTCTTTTAAAACAAGTCAGTTCGGATGAAGCAACTATTTCGTTGACAAATGCACCGTTGTCGAGATACAGGGATCAAATTAATACAGGAAATTTTGGAATGGAGGGTACAATGGCAGGTGTCTTCATTACAATAGCATTTGGTTTTGTGTCAGCATGCGCTGTTTTGGTGCCCATTCATGAACGAACCACTAAAGCGCAGCTGCTGCAACTTATGACTGGAATACCAAATGTGTTATATTGGCTGTCTATGTTTTTGTGGGATTTCATATTAGTCTTCATTGTGTCGATTATTCTTATTATACCATTTGCCATATTTTACAACTATGTCTTTTTTGGGCAACATTCTGAAGCTATACGTAAGTATATCTTATTAAAAAAAAGTATATATATATATTCTTTTTAACAAATATTTATAGTTAAAATACTAGGGTAGTTTATATTGATTTAGCATAATCTGTTTATTAGGCAAATAATATAATATAATCCAAGCATTTGCAGTTAAGATGATGGTTGATGGTTTGATTCGGATACCATCTTTAAATAATTAATTTTTGAACACTTATACATAAAAATGAATATAATTTTCGGATTAACTATCACTTTTTATTTATCAATTGGAATAGTTCCATAGATTGCTTTGATTATTACATTCTAAATTTTCGTGATACATCTTTTTTCAACTTTAACATCTTTTTTAGATTTTGAAATAATAACATGCTGTTCCACATAATAATATAATTCCAGCTAATGTAATCATAATCCACGTAATTAAATAAGAAACAAGTTAAAAATAGGTTGACTAATATAACAGTAAACACGAAACTGCTGAGTAGAAAAACAAATAAAAAGTCAGCTTATTTAGTATATATATATA